GCTGGAAATCTTTCCATCCTCTCCAGCATTCCATAGCATTCCTTTTTTTGAAGTCTCTCAGGGGTGGCTGTCATTTCTTTTCTAGTTGGCCTTGGATGGCATCTAGGATTTCTCTATGCATTTCCCTGATTCCTCCTCAATCTGAACCATTGTATGTCCTCACTCTCTTTGAAGAAATCAGGGAGGACTGTCTTTCTCTTTGCACTGTACTACCCGGGTTGCCTTCTTTCTGATGATATACGTATTTTATCTAATTCTAAATAATCTCATAATAATCTTCTTACTGGGGTAGCAACAGCAAAGATGTGCTCCTCTTCTCTAGGACCATCTCTCAAATAACTGTTTCTTTTTTTCTGGGATCAAATGCTTTACTTCCCTGAGAGACCATCTGTCAACTACAGCCAGGATTTCTTGATTGGCCCATGTGTTGCTCCATTCTGGCCTGTCTGTGAACATTCAACACTTTGGCAGACTCTGTGCTCCAATATTATCAGGGATATGCACACTATTGCCTCTGAGACATTTGGCACTTCTTTGAGAGGGTGACACATAGGAAATATAACCAATTGATTTCTAACTTTGCTTTTAGTTTCTTGAGACAGGTTCTCTCTCCATAACCCTGCATGTTCAGGAACTAACTATGTTGATCAGGCTAGCCTTGAATTCACAAACATCAGCCTGCCTCTACCTCTAACACTATCTCTGCCTCTGCCTATGGCTCTACCTCTGCAATTACCCTGGCCCTGGCCCTGGCCCTGGCCCTGGCCCTGGCCATAACTCAAGAGTGTTGAGACGAAAAGAACAATCCCACAAACAAATAGATTAAAGTTTCTTTCTATCTATGTGCATATCCAGGTTTCCCAGCATGACTGGATGAAGAGGTCATGTGGAAGCCAAGGTGAATTTTTCTTATCTACTAAAAATCTGAATATCTGAATATCTGTAGCCATGGCAGAGATCCGAAGAATGTCATCCAGCTGTTGTAGGTGCCTAAGTGCAGAGGTGCACTGAAAGGTGCACATCCCACTTACCAGGTACTGACTTCTTCCTTGACTCTTTTTCAGTGGTGCAAACGGAGACTTCCCTGGGAATCGCACCTCAAGCCAGAGACTCCATCAGCTGCAGAATGGAACTCTGCTACTCCTACACCCTGGATTACCAGATGAGGACACCACCTGTTAATGGGCACAAGTCATTAACTACCCTCAACCGCAACCTTCAGAATTCCTGGCATTGCCACAAGCTCCATGCCTGGAACAAACAGAGAATGACAACCTGCATGAGATGGCAGGAAATCTGTCAGTACTTCTGGATGCCTATGAGTGCACAAAAGACCACCAAGACCCATCTCTACTCTCTTTAACACACCCTGACTGCAGCATCCCTTGCAGTTCACTGATGCTGGGAGCCTAGGGAGAAGCTTGCTTCTGA